TGCGGAAAGAACTTGAAAACCAAGTCCTAAAATATGAAACACAGATAGTTGAACTAGAATCACTTCGACGTAGATCTCTCGAATACGAAGATCAATTGGCAGATCTAAAGAATGTTCGTGAAGAACTCGAGAATCTCAAGCAAAAAGTAAAGGGCATGGATGATATTGAAGCTCAGAATCTTGAAAAGATTGAAGAATTGTCTAAACTTCGCATAAGAGTTCAACAATTGGAAAACGCAGAAAATGATCTTGAATATGTTCGTAAACAATTGGAAAACGCAAGAAAAGATCTTGAATATGAACGTAGAGACAAGAATGACTTATCTAATCGTCTAGAAGTATTAGAAGCAGAAAAGAAAAAGCAGTTAGAAAATAATCATTCACAAAAGAACGCGAATGCTACGTCAAACACACATTCATATGGAGGACGCGAACCTAGAATGAACGGTGTTATTACAGAAGATCGAATCATCTCAAGGGATCATAAACCCTTATATAGCAATAACAATCAACCTAACGGGAATTTGGAGCAAATTCATTATTCCAATATGAAGCCGCCTACCGAATATAATTCTCAACAGACATTCAGTCAGTCACCTGCTATTGGTAGTATTAATTTAACGCAACCGACAACACAATCTATGCCACACATGATGAATGGAGCTGCACAACAATCATCTCATCAAACATATATTCCTCAGACACCAAATTCAGCAGTACTACCATCACCACAACACATACAACCCACATATTTATCACATAATGGACCACCACCTTCACAACTCCAACCATATGTTCCTTCGCACTCATCTCAATCATCTGTACCTATTCATTCAAATACTCCCGTTTCATCACAAAAAGTGCAGCAAAAACAGGATAAATCGCAACAACAGCAACCTATACTTCCGCAATTGGTGCAATCGCAACAAACACAGTCTAACCAAGGGCAATCTACCGTGAAACAAGAAAAAAAGTCTCATAGTCGTCAAAGTTCTCGCTCAAACAATATTGGAGGTAGTGGAAAGAAGCAACGCTCTCAGAATGCAAAGAAAAAAGATCGAAATAGGAGAAATTCTACGGCTGACAATACGGACAATCCCTGGAACAAAGGCGAATTGAATAATGATGAGTGGTGGTAGAATTTAGAACCGGGTTATAGCAAACCGGGTCACCCGTGTCAAAACGGTTCAACCAGGGACACGGAAAAATCCCATTTTGATTTGGTCAAAAATCCGGTTTATACTGATATAAAAAATTTCTTATTTATTATTATAATTACTATTATAATGCATAATAGTAAGTGCCCGAAGTGATTCCTCACTTCGATTTTGTCTGTCATCTAAAATTTTATTATAAATACTAAAATTACGTTCTACACTACACGATGAAATTGGTAACCAAATATACTTCATAGCTATTGCGGTAATTGATATGAAATTTTGATTCAAAATTCATCTAAACTATTAATAAATTCAATTTCCGTTAAATATTACCTATTCTTATAAAAGCTCTGTAGATGGGTTACAATACATTTATACGAAGTAATGACTAATAGATAAATTTATAAAACGTGGATCAAATATCCAAGTTTTTTTAAACAATAATTGTGCCAGCTTATATTGAGATTGGTTTACGGAACCTATTTTATTAAAATATAAAATTTGGGGGGCTTTTTATGCTGTTTTTCTTTTTAAGATTTTGGGTTAGTATACTAATAAGAGTATATGTGAATTTTAGTATATAAGCTAATCTTAGCATAAGCCGTCACAATTATGCTGGATGGTTAAGAATATTACGTATAATAAAATTTTAAAACTACGTATTGCATGAATTAAACCAATCAAAATTAATATAAATCATATAATTATATTAATTTTATTTATTTATTTTTTTTTTTGGTATTAAGGTGAAGCATTGTATCTCGAGTTTTTATTCAGTAGTATTATCATATATGTATATAGCCACTACAGTATTTACAACCTAATTTTAAACTATGAGTATTAGAACAATTTTTATCCTTGGTCTAAATCTATTAGAGCTTTATATATCTTACTTATATCTAATTTGGTTTTTTGTTTCCTGATTATCCTTATTTGGCAACTTATATATTTCTATTATATTTTACCTGCCTTATTAACAACTTTCAAATTGGTATTGTTTTTTAGATAATCATTATATAAGTAGCTTTTAATTTGGTATATTTGTTATGATTTTTATTATTTCTAGCTAGATCTATCTAATAGTTTGTATTTTAAGCCAAAGGTTCACTATTTAATTAGGTTAGATTTTTATATAAAAAAGTTGGTATTTATTGTTAGCAAGTTTTTTACTTATTTTTTTAAATATTGTTAATCTATATTTCAAGTCAAAGTTTGCTATCATTACTAGTTTGTATATTTCAAGATTAATTTGTTATATTTTTTATAATCTAGTAATATTGATTATTTTTTTTTTTGTACTCTTTTAAATAGTATATATTGTTATACTAGTATGACTTGCTTTGTTATAGATTTTTATATTAAATATAGCCAGGATCTATTAGTACTATTATATGTATAAGAATCATTAGTTTATCTCTATATATTTTTAGTTATCTTTTAAATATTTTTGTTCTATAGTATTAAAAATATTTCTAATACAGATCATTATTATATTCTTTATTTTTTTTATTATTTTAGTTTGTATTTTTTTAATTACTCTTCTAAGCAAGTATCTTACAAGTTGGGTACAAAGATATTGATGCTACCTTATCTCTTTTAAAACTTATTTAAACAATATTCTATATAATAAAACTTTCTATAATATTATTATTACATATACATCAGCAAATTTATAATAGTATAATCTTACGTAAGATCTTACGAACCATGATATAAGCAAAATATTACATAATACAGATGATCCTCGTTAATATCAACCCTGTTAATATCAACCTAAGCCACAGAACAAATTTTTATAAATTTTTATATATCAAAATTCTCTCATACATATCAACTTTAATATGATTTCTCATTAATATCACTATCAACATAATTTAAAACCAATTCAAATGGGTTG